CAGAGAAAGCTTCGTTTCAAAAGTGGATTTTCCAAAACCTCCGTGGCTCCACCCCTCTGCACGTGGCCGCAGAGCCGGGGTCTACGGGTGTGAGTGACAAGTCCCAAGGCCGGGCTGGGCTGGATGCCGACCGCCTGACCCCCCCCAGCACCCGTGTCCCATGGGCCATCCCCCAGGGCACCGCACGTTCTCAAGCCCTTTTCTCGAAGACACGCATGGCGCAGAGGGACATCGCTGCAGAGTGTGCGCCCATGAGAGCCCCAGCCCGCAGGTCACCCCGAGGGCTGACCATGAGCCGCGGGGCAGGGCCCAGGGCAACGCTGGCCTCTGCGGGCTCACAGCCCACCGCAGCTCAGCCACCACACGCTCCACACCGCAAACCACTTCCGCCCCGAGACATCAGGCAACGCAACTGCCAGCGTCTGGAAACACACGCACTTGCTCACGGTGGGAAGAGTCCGACCTACGAAGTGCGACCCACTTACCTCTTGGGAGCTCATGCTGGCGGGGGGCACCTTGTAGACCAGACAGCGCCAGGGGTTGGGCCGGACCCCGCCCTGGAGCGGCACGGTGGCGCGGCCGGAGCTGGCCTCCAGCGAGGGCTTCCAGGCCGCCCAGCGGACGGTGTGCATGTGCGCCAGGCTGGCCACGGGCGTGGCGGGAGCCGCCTGGAAGGGAAGCAGAGCACAGGCCCCGTGACCGCACGGCCCACACGGGGGCCAGGGGCGCTCTGCCACAAAGCTAACGAGACAGAGGTGGCAAGCGTCATGTCCACTTTACAAAAGAAGGACCGAGGCCGAAGCAGGGCCCAGCATGCCACGGGCGGAGGCACAGAGCGGGAAAGCCAGCCTCCCGCTCTGAGACCCCATGAGACCCCACCGGCCCAACCAGGAACCGCATGTGGAGTATTCCGAGCCCCGGGGGGATGTGGGAAGAGAAACGGCCCAACGGAGGCAGGTCATCGCCCAGAACGTGCGCACAGCCTCACTCCTCACGGCCATGCGCCACCTGACCCTCTGGGCTGAGGAAAGTAGAGCAGGCGGATCCCCGTTCTGGGGGCAGAGGGGCAGGGCCCTCCGGCCGTCCCTGAAACTGGCGGAGTGCGCCCAGGCAGCCCTTGCGACTGCAGGCCGTGGTCACAGGGCGGGTAGCGGCCTTGGAGAGCAGTGGAGCCCATGCCCTGCCCGGGGGGCGGGGGGGCGGGGTGAGAGCCTCCCCGAGGGAGGGGCCAGGGTCCCGCTGACCAGCTGTCACAGGAAGTTGAGGCCTGCTCATCTGACCGCACTCAGGTCCGAGGCAAGTGCCACACACACACACACACACACACACACACAGGACTGGCTGGGCTTGGAGGGACAGCGCATGGCCACGCATGGGCGTGAGCAGGTCCCAAACACCAAGGAGACGCACCCACTCAGGCCAGTCCTCCCAGACGGCTGCTTGCTCACCGATACCCCACCTATCACAGCCTTCACAGCCAGGGAGGAAGACACCCCGACTCAGCACGCAGCTTGGAGTTAGCCTGTTCCCCGCGTCCCCAGCGCAACTGGACCTCACCCCACCCGCTGACCCTTCCCTGGAGCCGAAGTCCGGGTCGCAGGTGAGGCTGGGCGACATCCCGCCCCGGGCGGTGGGGTGAGCAGGGAACGGGTCCCCAGCAACTCAGTGACGGAAAACCCACCTCCTGAAAGAGCAAAGAATCAACCAAGAGAGGACCCTCAGCGTCCGACTCCGCACCCACTTCGAACGTCTGCCTAGACAAGGACACCGACGGCCTTGCCCGCCAGCGCGGCCGGCCACACAGAGGCCCCGTGCTCCAGGGGGGCTGACCACAGAGCCCCTGCCTTTCAGAATGAAAGTCCCCCGTGTACTCAGAGAGCCGGCCACACAGAGGCCCCGTGCTCCAGGGGGCCGACCACAGAGCCCCTGCCTTTCAGAATGAACGTCCCCCGTGTGCTCAGAGAGCCGGCCACACAGAGGCCCCGTGCTCCAGGGGGGCCGACCACAGAGCCCCTGCCTTTCAGAATGAAAGTCCCCCGTGTACTCAGAGAGCCGGCCACACAGAGGCCCCGTGCTCCAGGGGGCCGACCACAGAGCCCCTGCCTTTCAGAATGAATGTTCCCCGTGTGCTCAGAGAGCCGGTCACACAGAGGCCCCGTGCTCCAGGGGGGCCGGTCACAGAGCCCCTGCCTTTCAGAATGAACGTCCCACGTGTGCTCAGAGAGCCGGCCACTGGAAGACGGCGTGGGTGGGAGAGCATCCAGGCGACTTCTGTGAACACTCGTCTATAAAACACAGTTTATTACAGAATCAAATTAAAACGAAATCCAGGTTTCCGTGCTGTTTGCGTAACTCCTTCCGGCCTAATGTTTCAAATGAGGTGACTCTGATACCCAATTTTCCAATTTCACTGTTCCTTGGGGTTTTTTACTTCGCAATCGATACAGCTCTGTTGTGGGTGAAATATCTATCGGTTACTCATATATCCATTTTCCCTCCTTTTGTTTTTAGCCTCTAACAGAAGGGATGCTTCGTGAGTTATTGATCAGGCCTTCACAGGACTTCCGCGGGACAATCAGACCCTGTGGCAATTCAATTTCTGTTCACTCGCTTGCCTGTTCTCCCCAGCAGGCCTGGGCGCCTGCAGCGGGACCCTCCCTGCAGCCCCTCCCTGCTCTGAGCTCCTCCCACCAGTGGGCTCCGAGGCGGAGGTCAGATCTGTTACTTTATAACATCTTAACCTGCTAAACTGAGTTTGATTCCACACAAACTGAAAAGGAAAAGAGAATTCACTGAATTGTTTCCATTTAGACCTTTGATTATAATATAAACACAAAGGCGGGAGGAGCACCGGTCCGGGCCTGGCTTGTCGTGGGATGGGGGGTGTCATAGCCACGTCCACTGGTGAAGGGCGAACAGGAAACAGGCCTTGACCCCTGGGTGTGCTACAATCCGGGGTCCCTGCGGGGCGCTGAAGGGCAGCCCCAATGGACACGTCCACATCCTAATCCCGGACTCTGTGACCGTGACCTTACTTGGAAAAGGGTCCACACAGACAAAATGAAATTGAGTACTGTGAGGAGGAGAGCTTGCTACCCGGGAGCCCCACATCCAATGACGAGCGTCCTTGCAGAAGAGGAGGAGAGAACACAGAGGGAAGGCCACGTGCAGACGGAGAGGACGAGCCACGAGTGCCCACAGCCACAGCCCCGGAGGAGGCGGGAAGGGTCTTCCCCCAGAGCCGCCGGCGCCTCAGCTGGGCCCGACAGACTGGCTCTGGAGCTGTGGCCTGCAGAACTGTGCAAGGACCGAGGTCTGCTGTTCGAAGCCACAGTTCGTGGCAATGGCTCTGGCAGCCCCAGGAAGCCAAGGGGGCCTCTTGGCTTCTGTCCTCAAACCAACTCAAAACTCACCGGGCAGCAGGTTAAATATCACGCTTTTCAGGAGGCTGATTTTCTTCAGATCTGCTGGGGGGCCTTTCCCCTGCCCAGGGCCCCGCGCCGGCCACAACGCCCCCTCCGCACCGCCTCCGGGCGCTGCAGACCCAGGCCCAGAAACTCACTGCAGAGGTGACGGTGGCACCAGGGGCGGGGAGAGGTGTCTGCCTGAGACCACACCAGGGACAAACCAAGGGATAAGCCCTCGTGGGCCAACCACACTGTGGTGTTTGCTGAACACAAATGGATAAAAACAAATGGTGTGAAATGTCTCCGAATGTCCCTGAGATCACGCAGACCACAATGGGGGAGGAGGGGGTGACCACGTTACGGGTGAGCCAGTGTCTTGCCAGCACTGTCAGGAACCCAACACGCAGAATCAGGGGCGCACCAGGGTTCCGCACCAGGGGCGCCCTCTCCAGCCACCTTCAGGGCGCTCTGCACACCTCCACCTGTGCTGGCTGTGGGGGCCGCAGGGCACAGACAAGCCGCAGCCCAGAGCCTCCGCCGCACGCCTGTGGCTACCTGGGGACGCCACGGGGACAGCGCCAGCCACAGGCACGCGGCAGGGCACTTTTGAAGGCGCTCCAGAAAGCCCTCGGGACGTCTACGTTTCCCAGCTCTAGGAAGCTACGTCCACATAACTTTCAGAGGGAAGCGAGGCGTGACACTCTCGCTCCAACACAGAATCTTCGAACCACACAGCACTCGTGGTCCCAGGCGCTGAGCCCCCGGGTCCACACGTGGTAAGCACTCCAATCTTCGTCACGTGAGCTTGTTTGGTTCCAAGGACAGTGGCAAACTCATGAATGATAAACCTTCGCCTTCTAGAGATTTGGGAGAGGGTTACTTTGCTACATGACTCGCCAAGAAAGGACCGTTACGACTGCTGGCCGGCCCATGGGCATCTGCACTTATTCTGACAAAGCTGTGGCGGGCAGCTCAGAGTCTGGTGACAGCAGGTGTCTCCGTCCACATCCCTCTCTTAGGGAGACTGCTTTGTCCACTTCACTCCATCAGAAAACAACTGTGGGGCCCATGCTGGCACGGCTCCCCACGCGTCCACGTCCGTGGGGCCCACGCTGGCACGGCTCCCCGCGCGTCATGTCCGTGGGGCCCACGCTGGCACAGCTCCCCGCGCGTCCACGTCCGTGGGGCCCACGCTGGCACGGCTCCCCGCGCGTCCACGTCCGTGGGGCCCACACTGGCACGGCTCCCCACGCGTCCACGTCCGTGGGGCCCACGCTGGCACTGCTCCCCATGCATCCACGTCCGTGGGGCCCACGCTGGCACGGGTCCCCGCATCTCCACGTCTGTGGGGTCTACGCTGGCACAGCTCCCCACGCATCCACGTGGGCCATCTGGGTGGCTGCGGGGTCCCCACATACATTCCGGGAAGGACATGGTCTGGACGGGAAGAACGACCCAAGGACAGGTGCAGAGGCTGCCGCGCTCTGGCTAGGACAAACACGGCAGGACAGACTGAAAACAAGGGTGGGACCTCTCAGAACATTTTCTCTAGTTCATTTCTAACGACTGCCACAGTCTCCGGACCAGGAGGACTCACAGACTGCGGAGACTGGTCCACACTGGACACGCGATTAGCCCAGACATCTCTCCAGCCACGCGGCCCTGGGAGACAGGCTCTAGCTCCTGACCACTGTGGCTCTCGGGCTCAGCCACGCGGCCCTGGGAGACAGGCTCTAGCTCCCGACCGCTGTGGCTCTCGGGCTCAGCCACGCGGCCCTGGGAGACAGGCTCTAGCTCCTGACCACTGTGGCTCTCAGGCTCAGCCACCCAGCCCTGGGAGACAGGCTCTAGCTCCTGACCACTGTGGCTCCCCGGCTTAGGCACCCAGCCCTGGGAGACAGGCTCTCGCTCCCGACCGCTGTGGCTCTCGGGCTCAGCCACGCGGCCCTGGGAGACAGGCTCTAGCTCCCGACCACTGTGGCTCCCCGGCTCAGCCACGCGGCCCTGGGAGACAGGCTCTAGCTCCTGACCACTGTGGCTCTCGGGCTCAGCCACGCGGCCCTGGGAGACAGGCTCTAGCTCCCGACCGCTGTGGCTCTCGGGCTCAGCCACGCGGCCCTGGGAGACAGGCTCTAGCTCCCGACCGCTGTGGCTCCCCAGCTTAGGCACACAGCGAGGCCAGAACGGTACAGCGTGCAGCGTACAGCCCAGCGGTCTGCACACGAGGACACTGCACTCAGGAGTCAGCGTCCAGAGAAAAGCACATTTGTCTGGCTCGCCTGGTTCTGATGAGGAAAGTCCTGCAAACGCACCCAGGCCAAGCAGGTACGCCACACTGTGAGGCGTGTTCCAGGGGAGGGTGGTGGTGCAGAGGGCTTCACACCCCACGTTCCGGAGCTGAAGGGAGGGCGCCTCAGGGTCACCCTGAAACCACCTGGGCGGAATAGGGAAGGAGAAGGGCGGAGACAGACCCCCGACAGCCCCGAACTTTCGAGGTTGCTGACAGGAACACTGGGTTCTTCGGACTCTTCTCACCTTGACAATGGAAGTGTTCCCTAATAAAAACAAATAAAATGAAAAACACCAGCATGTGGCGCGTGCCAAGACGTTCACAGTAACTAGGCCGACTGGGACTGGACTTTCTTCAGGTCTGGGAACGTGGAAGCAGACGCAGGGATGCCCGGCGCCGACCGCCATGTCCAGCCCTCCGGGTGGCGGCTCCAGGCGGCAGTTCCCACCGTACAGAGGGCCTCAAACAGGAGGGCGGTGCCGTCAGAGCACGGCTGCTGAGTGGCCTGCCCCTGCCCAGCCCTGCGCCTGCGGGCCCACGGCGGCGGGAGGAACGTGCAGGCTGGCACATCGCTGCCTTCTCCCCAGCACCCCACCTGTGTGCGCCGCCCACACGCCAGAACGTCCCTTCCCGGATCGCAGGAAGAAAGGGTGCAGGTGATGGCAACACGGAGCCCAGTAGTCCGTGTTCAGAAGAACCTCCGTATCAAAGGGAACTGAGCTGCTATTCCAGCCATGGTCCCAGAGCGCCGGGGGCAGCCACTTGTGTCGCACCCACCCGTCATGGCAAAGTGTGTCCACAAAGTCACAAAATAATGGATGTCACCTAAGATATGGCAGTTTCATACCAGACTTTGTGATCTCAGGCAAACCAGTTAGCTCCAGAGGCTACGTCGTACTGATGTCACCGAGGAGTGGAGAGCCATCCGGGGATGCCCCCCCTGCGCCCACACGTCCCCCCAGGCTCCTGTCACAGGCCCAGATGCCCACCCACATGGCAGGCACAGTCGTGCACACCTGAAACTTCTGGTCCTAGAGAAAAGCAGACCGTCCACAGAACAACTGTGACCGTGTATCCAGCCGCCTGCCTCTAGGCCTGTCCACCTGAACAGGACCCCAAATCACACCGACTTGAGTGCGGACATCGAGGAGGTCAGCCGGCTGCTGCCAGAGCGGACGGGAAACCACCACAGCCCGCAGGCCCACGCCGGGTGGCCCCCTGCTCTGGCTGGCGGGCCCACCACCTGGAGGGCATCTTGTGGGCCTTCCTTCTATTTCTACTTGACTTGTTACATTGTTACTTGCTTTTCAAACAGAAAAGTAAATCTCCAGAACAGCAGGACTCGGGCTTTCCAGAGAGGCCCCAGGGAAGTCTGTCTGTGGTTCTTCTCCCAGCGGAAGCCCACAGGCCAGTCCTGCCCAGGCGCGTGTGAAGTCACCAGGACTTCATCCATCTCTTGCGCGGACTCAAGCCTGACTACACTTAATATCATATGAGAGATGCAGTAAATGGCCTCATTTTTCACAATAATCACCAGCATGGTAATTGCGCGTTAATGCGATCGTGATGCATGCCCACGGAGCACCTATTACCGCCCAGCAGCTGACGCCCTGTCGGCACGAAGCCGGGGATGATGGAGTTATCACCAGGAAGCGCTTTTCCAGAGCCCCGTCCACACGCATCACCCAGGCTGCTAACACACTCACACGGCTCTAACGGGAAATGCTAATGGGACTGTCAGGCCCACCTCCAGCTGGGACCTGACCCGACACGGGGGACCTTACGTGGCCGTCTGCTCCCGCGGGGCTGTTCAACACGTACTCCAGGTGAAAGACGATGGCGAACGCGGGGTGACGGACCATCTCGGGGAGGCGGAGGCGGCTTCTCAGAACCAGAGCCTGGTTTCCAGAGCTGGGCAAGAGCACACGGCAGGGGCGCGTCAAGCGGTGGCTCGGCTGCCCTGAGCCCACGGCCCCCACGTCGTCCGCAGCAAGCCCCTCGCGGGGCAATGCCACGGAGCTCCTCTGGGTTGGCTCCCAGAGTCATTCCCCAAACCAGGGCCTTTTTAAGGTGCCACAAGGAACAGTTTTCTAAATCGCCAGAGCTTATGTCCGGAGGTGGAATGACACGCCCAGGTCTCCAGGGCGCCTCCCCTCCAGGGCCCTTGGAGCTGCCTCTGGTTCTGGTCTGGGAGGCGGGGGCGGAGCAAAGCGCAGGACTTACAGCGCTCTGGGTCTCCACCGTGCGAGAGACTGGGCACAGGGCACGCCGGGAGGGAAGCACGCAGGGTCTCCAGAGACCGTAAGCGGCCACAATGCTAACTCCCAAATTGTCACAGAACAAAAACAGAATTTTTCCAACCTCAGAGCACCGAGGTCGGCTCCAAATGGGTAAAACTGAGCAAGAGGAAACGCAGGCACGAGGGAAGGACCCCAGGTGGGTGAGGGCACATGTGCAAAAACTTCATTTCCCCTGGAGGCTGGGACTCGGGAGGTCGGGACTCGGGAGGTCGGGACTCGGGAGCCCGGGCGAGCACCTGGCCTTGGAAGAGGAGCCGACCTTCCTGCTGAAGCTGGCGGAGCGCGTCAAGGCCACCTCCATCTCGGGCACCAGCACCATGACCTGCGGCCTCTGCACGAAGCCCAGACCGTTGTGCACGCCGACGCACAGGCGCCGCTCCGTGATCTCCAGGGCGCTGCTGTCCAGCGGGCGGTCGCCCTGGAACATGCACACGTCACACAGCATCAGGCAGGGCAGAAGGGAAGGGGGTTCTCGGGCTCATCCCCTGGAACATGCACACGTCACACAGCATCAGGCAGGGCAGAAGGGAAGGGGGCTCTCGGGCTCGTCCCCTGGAACATGCACACGTCACACAGCATCAGGCAGGGCAGAAGGGAAGGGGATTCTCGGGCTCATCCCCTGGAACATGCACACGTCACACAGCATCAGGCAGGGCAGAAGGGAAGGGGGTTCTCGGGCTCGTCCCCTGGAACATGCACACGTCACACAGCATCAGGCAGGGCAGAAGGGAAGGGGGCTCTCGGGCTCGTCCCCAGGGGAGGGCAAGCGGAGAGGAGAGACTGTGACAGAAGTTCCCAGAGCCCATGATGCTTAGTGACAAAGAGCCCAGCAAAGGACAGCTGGTCATCCAGTTGGAACTGGCTGGCCACAGGGCTTTATAGGTAGTTTGGGTTCTCCCAGAGTGGGATCTTGTCAGAGCAACACACCCTGGTGCACCCCATCAGGTGCCTGATCACCAAACTCTCGCCCTAAGCTTCCCAGGTTCAGCCACCATCTCACACGCACCAATCCGGCGGCCAGAGACCTGGGCACCTCTCACAGGACCTGGTGCCCGAGGTGCGGAGCCCGCCCCCGTGGAGGAGGCACCAAGGGCGGCGGGCAGGTCTCAGCCTCCGCCCTGCAGGACCCGCACACTGGAGACTGAGGGCACGGGCAGCGGAGGCAGCCTATTCGGCAGTAAGTCATAAACCAATAAAGACGGAATCTGCCCCAAAGTGATCGCTGGATATTAAAGTGTTTCATCTTAACAAAAAACGTACTGATGCGCTAACGAACGAGCCAGGACAGTCCTCCGGGCTATTGCTGTTTATTAAACGGGGTGATCATTGCAGAACGATCCCTGAACTTTCAAGGGTTCTCCACCGCCCCTCATCAGGCGGAACGGGTCTAAAGGCGGCCTGTTAGGCCTTGAGTGATGCAAACAGACCGGTGGAGATGAGGAGAATCTGCCGGTCAGGTGGGAACAAGTGCAGGGACGGTGAAGCGCATAAGGAAGCATGGAACCCAGCAGGGGCGCTCTGAAAGCCTCCCCGCCCTCCACGGGGCACCCGGAGCAGCAAGGAGACAGCGGGAGCTGCACCCAGAAACCCAACTGCCACAGAGGTCCCCTGTGGTGTTTCCATTGCAGATGGGACCATGTTCTCTGGAGTGCCTTTCAGAGGACGGCCATCTCGTTCACGTGCTTGCATGTGCGTGCGCGAGTGCACGTGTGTGTGTGTGCGCGTGAGTGCACATGTGCAGGCACGTGTCAGTGTGTGTGTGAATGTGTGCGGGCATGTGTTAGTGTGTGTGCGTGAGTGCACATGTGCGGGCACAGGTTAGTGTGTGCATGCAGGCACATGTTAGTGTGGGTGCATGTGTGTGGGTGCACGTGTGTGGGCACATGTTAGTGTGTGTGCATGTGCCTGCACGTGTGCCTGTGTGTGTGCCTGCACGTGTGCGCATGTGTGCATGTGCGTGTATGTGGTGAATTACTGCTGACTGCTCAGATGACAGGATGGGCACCACGGGACTGAGGCATGCACGCCCACAACAGGTATCAAAGGCCTGCTGCGTGCCCACACCTGACTCACACCAGGTGTGGTGCTGAACAAAGCATGTCCCTGTCCTCCTGGTGCAACTCCGCAAAAGGGACGAGACCCGCCAGGACACAGGTGAGGAGCCAGGCGCTCTCGCGGGAGGCCGGGAGGCAGGGAGGCCTGTGCTGAGCCTGAAGCCGGAGGACACCGCACAGATCTGGAGGAGAATGTCCGGGACAGGGGGCTGCGTGTTCAGAGGCCCTGGCTGGGCTCGTCCAGGGCGCCCCGCACAGGCTTGCGGGGAGGCTCACAGGCAGGCTGGACCCGGCAGTGGGGGGAGAGCACCTCAGCCGGACACCTGCTCTGATAGGGTGAAATGACCGGGATTCCCGTCATCTCCTTGGAAAGAGCCAAACGTCCTCAAAGGTCCTTCGTAAATGCAGATTCTCTGAAGAATTTCCCTACGCTCGTTTGGTGACTTAATTTACTTATTAAACCGGGACTGGTTTAAGACAGGTCAAAATTAATGTTAATTAACGTCTCAGGATAACAGCACCTTTGTCACCGTCGAAGCTAAAACAGGCTAGTGTCCCCCTTCAGCCACAAAGGGGGAAAGACAGGAGCAGATCGCGGTGGCTGCCGGCCCCCGCCGCCGGCTGCATCAGAGGCTCTGCTCGCCATGGGCACCTGCATGGGAGACCGAGCCCCGGACGGGAGACTGTACCTCCCGGAAGTGGTCGCTGACAAGGAGTTCCAGAAGCTCCTCCTCAAATTTCTCAAGGGAAGGGTACAGCGTGAAGAACACGTCATCCAAGTACCACGTGACCGACTTCTGCAGGCGAGGCTTTCGGAGGGCATCACCTGAAACGAGAGCGCAAGGTCATCCGTGGGAACACCACCCCCGGAGCGCCTGACGGCTCCCGCCACCCCGGCTCCAGGCCGCGGCGAGGGCCCTGCAGGCGGGAAAGAGAACACGGGCACCACTCAGACAGGACCCTGGGTCAGAACCCACCTCCGTTGACGCCCAAACGCTGAACTGGTCACACAAATGCAACTTCCGCTTGAGGCCACGTTCCACCCCGCACTCGTCCAGGAAGCACGTTACACTTGGCACCCAGAACACGGACAGCAGAGTGCAGAGGGGCGCCCGCTCCCTTCCCTGGGCCCCACCCCGTCGCTCCCTTCCTTTCCAGCAGGGACAGCCAGTGAGCCGGCCATTTCTCACTGTTCCATCGCCCGTGAACCGCATGGCGACATGCGGGCGTCCTCATGACCATGCTGAGGCAGCAGTACGGTCAGGGCTGGCACCACGGGAGGCCAGTCCCTGTCCCGAGTGGGCAGCCTCCCTGGGGCCGTGGCCCCATGAGCATAGGAGGGGCCGCCAGCTCCTGGCATCCAGCCCAGTGGCCGGCAGAGCAGGCATGGGGACCTCAGGTGCGGGGAGGACTATGTGCAGGGAGGCCGTGTCCGCAGCTCCGGGCGGTGACCAGCACAGGAGGGGCAGGCACAGCAGCTGCCACCTGAAGGCTCACCCCCCCCCCCGGGGACCTCCCATCACCACCACTGGGGGCCATCGTTCCGGCTCTGGTCCTCTCTCCCCCCGAGTTCTGACGACTGTTCAAATATTTAGGGACAAGGTCTTCGCTTTGAAAAGGAACGACGGACAGACTCAGTGATGGCAGAACGGCCGTGTGCAGAGCACCATGGTCCGCGAGGCTCCGTGTCAGCGCCAACAGGCAGCTCTGCCTTCGCCTTCCCGGTCTCGAGGGCCTCCAGCCCCCACATCCGCCTTCCGCCCAGCGGTGCCCGTGTCTGGGCCCACCCCGCAGAGCGAGCAAGGCGTCCTTCGGAACGTTCTTTAGAAGAGAGAAAAGCACGGAACCACCCAATGTTCCAAAATAGAGGAATTTGTCAGCTGTCCGTCCACAAAAGCGGGGACAGAAAGCACGTTGTCAAAGATCATCTAATGGTCGCAAAGTGGTCATGATGCGGTAGCAGAAAAGAAGATCACAAAACTGTCCGCTGATGCCAACTGTGTTTAAAACCACGTGTGCCTGCGCGTCTGCGGGTCTGCAGGTCTGCAGGCAGTAACCTCGGGTTACCTCGTTTCCTTCTTCGTGGCCCCCACGTCCTCCCACCACACGGGGGCGTGAGGTCCGACGCTCCTGGGACAGCTGGTGCATGCCTTCCTCACTGCTGAGAATCGGAACCGGTGAAAAGTGCAGGCCCAGCAGCCAGAAGGTGGGGACCGCCCCGGGTCTGCGAACAAACAGATAAACAAAGTGTGGTCCGTCCACACGGCGACTGTGCATTATCCGGCCTCAAAGAGGAAGGAACTCCTGTGGGACAAGGTGGCTGGACCTTGAGGACACACTGCTGCGTGAGACAGGTCGGATACAGAAGGACGAACATTGTATGATCCACTTTCGTGAGCCGTTTGCTTAAAGCAGTCAGATTCACAGACGAAGAGGGACGGAGGGTGCGGGGCTGGGGGGTGGGGAGTGAGTGTGTAATGGGACAGTCGCAGTTCACAGGACGAGGCCCCCCAAGGTCCTGAGTGATGACACCCTGCGGAGCCACGGTGGGGGCTCAGCGGTTCACGGCGAACCCCCACAGCAGGGGCTCCGGTGGGTGTCGGGGGAGGGGGTGGCAGTGTTGTCAGGTGACTGCGAGACCCTTCGCCTTCCGCCAGAGCCTATCAGTGCTGTGAGAAGGGGCCCAGACCCCCGCACGGCCCAGCACCCCGACTAGACTCCATGCTGGCCCGGGTCCAGGAAACGGGCTCTGGCCGGTGTGCTGCCACGGCCCCCGCCTCCGGCCGCGCCATGAGACCTCTGCACCGCTCCCGGCGGGCAGGGCCGAGCCTTCACCCACACAGCCTGCCTGGGCCCCCTTCCCCCCCCCACGCCCCCAGGCTGGCGCCTCGTGACGAGTGGCCCACGGGGGCGGGTCTGACAGGCACGCAGAGGTGCGACCCTGAGAGCAGCAGGTCCCGGCCAGAGGCAGGCTCACTCCACCGCCACAGGGGCCTCGGCCAGCCCGCGGAGTGACCGGGCAGCGCACGGAGCTCTCTGTCCCAGGCGGAGAATGTTTGAGAGGGGGCAGGGCTTCCCAGCTGCAAGGAAAGGAACCGTGGACGTGGTGGCATCTGCCAAACTGGACGACTCGGAGCTCCCCTGAAGCTGCTCAGGGAGAGGCCGGCGGCCTCCCAGGAGAGACGAGGAGCTGCTGGGGGGACCGGAAGTGCCCTCTGTCGTTTCCAGTCTCCCCAGGTCGGAATCACTCGATCCGCACACTCAGGAGCGCAAGCCCAACCGGGGAGACGCAGGTAAGGCCCGTGGCCGTGCGGACATCAGGTCCTGGTGTGACGCTGGGCCGTGAGGACGTCGGGTCCTGGTGTGACGCTGGGCCGTGCGGACGTCGGGTCCTGGTGTGACGCTGGGCCGTGCGGATGTCGGGTCCTGGTGTGACGCTGGGCCATGTGGACGTCGGGTCCTGGTGTGACGCTGGGCCGTGCAGATGTCGGGTCCTGGTGTGACGCTGGGCCGTGCGGGTGTTGGGTCTGGCTGTGACGCTGGGTTGTGTGGGTGTCGGGTCTGGCTGTGAGGCTGGGTCGTGCAGGCGTCAGGTCCTGGTGTGACGCTGGGCCATGTGGGCATCCGGTCCTGGTGTGAGGCTGGGCCGTGTGGCCATCGGGTCCTGTTGTGACGCTGCTGTGACGCTGGGCTGCCATCTGGGGTCACTGGGCAAGGGCACCCGGCCCTCTCTACATGACTCACTGAAACTGCAGTGAGCCACAGTAACCTCCATCACAACCCCAGTGAAGAAGAGCGCCCTCCTACGTGGTGGCTCTCACAATGAACAGATACCCAGCTCCCGGAAGGGCACTCAGATGAAACCAAACCCTCTGCACGTTCGACAGATGATTCACCAGGGAGCCTTCCAGTCCCAGCCCTGGCCCTTCCGGGGCTACAAACACGATCCAGCAAAGAAACCTTTTGCAAGAGAAGTCACCAAAGCCCAGAGATCGGGGAAGCATGTAACAGAGATGATGGCCCTGTCAGAAAGCAGCCGGCGCCTCTCGGCTGCGAGGAGCACTCCGCGTGGCGTCTGCACCCATTGGGCAGCTGGGCTCCCCCAGCCCTCGCCTGCCAGAGCGTGCCAGGCTCCGTGGCGGAGTCCCTGGCCGTTCGGGTCTGCAGTGCTCCGGGCACCGCTGGCATCCGGGACGCGCCCCTGTGAGCGGTGGCTCCACACCAGTGGGCAGCTGGGCTCAGATCTCTGCTGAAACCCTAGCCTTGAGGGTACGGCGCTGGAATGGCGCTTCCTTAAATCCCACCTCCCCTGGGTCTCGTGGCCCCTGGCCTCCGCAGTCTGAGGGCCATCGGGCAGCTGGGCTCCTCCGTCCAGCGATGACCCGGAGGCGGGCCCAGGCTGTACCGAGCTCCGCTCACACCCGCTGTGTTGCCTACAGCGCAGGCCCAGGAGCCTCTGCTGAGGCCCAGACCAGGGCGAAGGCTGGGTGGGCGGACGCAGAACAGTGGGCGCCAGGCTCTTCCCTCTTCACAGCAGGGCCTCCCTGCCCGACGGGGCCAGGCGGCAACGGGCCACAGCCGAGGTCGGAGCGCAGGCGACGCGTCCCGGCCACTCGGTCCCAGCAGATGACCACCAGGCCCTCCTGGTCTCCCCGAGCTCCAGCCCCTCCTCTCTCGGGAGAACACAGGTAGACTGTGAGGCTTCCGGCATGGGCTCAGGGTGGGGGGAGAGGGCGTTTCAGCCCAGGCCCACCCGGTCTCCCCGAGCTCCAGCCCCTCCTCTCTCGGGAGAACACAGGTAGACTGTGAGGCTTCCGGCATGGGCTCGGGGTGGGGGGAGAGGGCGTTTCAGCCCAGGCCCTCCTGGTCTCTCCGAGCTCCAGCCCCTCCTCTCTCGGGAGAACACAGGTAGACTGTGAGGCTTCCGGCATGGGCTCGGGGTGGGGGGAGAGGGCGTTTCAGCCCAGGCCCTCCTGGTCTCCCCAAGCTCCGTTTCAGCCCAGGCCCTCCTGGTCTCCCCGAGCTCCAGCCCCTCCTCTCTCGGGAGAACACAGGTAGACTGTGAGGCTTCCGGCATGGGCTCGGGGTGGGGGGAGAGGGCGTTTCAGCCCAGGCCCACCCCGGTCTCCCCGAGCTCCAGCCCCTCCTCTCTCGGGAGAACACAGGTAGACTGTGAGGCTTCCAGCATGGGCTCGGGGTGGGGGGAGAGGGCGTTTCAGCTCAGTGACCCAGGTGAGTCCAAACCTGAGACCCCTTCTGAGACGCGCCCCTGCTCACAGTTGACTCATCACCTCTCACGTCCATCGTCTTTTCTCTGGGACACTGAACAAACAGCGACCTCACAGGTCACGGACCCGTCCAGAAATGCATGAACGACATCTGCATCGGGCATGGACCAGAACGCCTGGGCCTGCACAGGGACAGCCTAACAACCACTCCCCGCACTGGGGCAGAGCCATGGCCCTTTCTCAGGGTCTGAGCCACACACTCAGCACGTCACCGCCCTCCACCGGGCTGCGGAGCCCCAGGTCGAGCCTGCTCTTCCTGGACCAGGCCGGAGTCGGCCCAGCTGAGCAGAGTTCCAGCAGAGCCCGGCGGGGGAGCTGCTGTGGTCCCTGCTCCTGGCGCCTCCAGACAGCCAGACCAAGAGCTTCCGAAAGTGCCAGGTGGTGAGGCCCCACCAGGTCCACCGCCATGACCCACGCCACCACTGGGAACCAACACAAGGCAGAGTGCTGGGCCTGTCACACGGCGCTCAGTTTCCAACGTAACAAGCCTCTGCACACCCACGTCCAGGGCAGTTTATCACCACAGGCAAAGGCCGGAAACCCAGGGTCCGTCGGCAGGCGAGTGGACACACTCGTGGTCATCCACACGGGGGTGTCCCCCAGCTTTGGAAAGGAAGGTAGCTCAGACAGGAGGGTGGGCCCTGTGAATGCCACGGGGGTGTCCCCCAGCTTTGGAAAGGAAGGTAGCTCAGACAGGAGGATGGGCCCTGTGAATGCCACGGGGGTGTCCCCCAGCTTTGGAAAGGAAGGTAGCTCAGACAGGAGGATGGGCCCTGTGAATGCCACGGGGGTGTCCCCCAGCTTTGGAAAGGAAGGTAGCTCAGACAGGAGGATGGGCCCTGTGAATGCCACGCCAAGTGAGACAAGACAGCGAGAAAGTCCAAACACTGCACAACCCAGTCACAGGGAGCCCGGGAAGAGTCTCCTTCACAGCCGGAGAGGGTGCAGGGTGCGGGCCTGGGGTGGGGGCGCGGAGTGAGCGGTTGACGGGGACAGTTGCAGTTCGGGAAGACGCACGCGCTAGCCGCACACCGAAGTGGCTGAGACGAGAACGTTCTGCCACGTGTCTGCCACGTGTCTGCCACAACGGAAAAGTTACCCTGAGGAGGCCACTGCGTGGAGGCCAGTGAGGCGGCACCAGCAGCGGTGGACGCGCTGGCCAGGCACAGACGCGAACCACTTTCCTTACCAAGGCGTCTCCCGAGGGAGGGAGGCGGAGGCGACTGGGCGACCTGAGACGGCTGAGGGACGGCAGACCGCGGTGGCACCGCCCCACCCTCCCCCCTCCTGCCCCGCGGGCGGTGTGCTGGGAGGTGCTGCACGCCCTGCCGGGACTCCCCTAGAGCCCAGTGCCCAGGAGGCCGCAGCCGGCGAGAGGACAGAGCAGCCCTTACCCGAGTTCCCGGGAGCCGGAAGGAGGCCGGGCACGGGCTGCAGGCCGGACACCAGCAGGTTCTCGGGCAGGAGGTGGAAGGCGGGCTCCAGGGCCGGGTGCAGCCTCAGCGTGTACTGCAGGCTGCAGCTCTCAATGACCGTCAGGAGCTTGTTTTCTGGGGAGGGAAACAGGGCTGTGAGAGCTGACCCGGGGCACTTTCCATCCAGTCAGCCGCCGAACCCCGATTCTTAGACATAGACGCCACAAACAGGAAACGTACTTTTAGGGAGACGGAAATTACTGTCAGTTCAGCCAAAAAGTAAAAAAGAAAAAACGGATCCCTAGTAACTCTGGGGAAACTGGCACGAAAGAGATGCTGGTTTCCGATGATGCTGTTACATTGTAACAAAGTAACAATCTCTGGCTCACACCTTCCCCAGAGCAGGAAGCAGGCACCACTCAGGGCCGCGACCCAGAACCGTGGACGGGAGGCTCATGTGGCGCGCACGCCATTTATAGGGTCCCAATTCTAAGGATGCTCCAGGAGAGAAAACACTGGCAAATTTATGATTACAGTCAACAGAGGGATCACCTCAGAGCCAATGTTTAGCGATAAAATTGTTTCTGAGTGATTGTCTCAAACTCCGCGGGGAGCCGAGGGTATGGGTGGTCTCTTTCACACCGGCTCCATGGCAAACGCAGTTTCCGTCACCGAGCCCAGGCAACCTCTCGGAGACAGGAAGGCACCCTCCCAAACAGGGCCACCTGTGACCACATGGCCCGTCCACCACAGTCGACACAGGTCTCTGCCCAGCCCACCCCCTGCCCCCACTGGCTGCCCCTCCTCCCACCCTCCACCTGGCCACAGCCACGTGTCCCTCGCAGCTGGCACTGGCCGCTGGGCCTCACACAGGACGAGAGCCCAGCATTTCCACAATGTGGCGGATGTCCCTACAGAGGGCTCCTCAGCCAGGCCATCTGAGGCCTTGCTGGAGATCACCAATGGGCTTCCCAGCGAGTGGCTTCCTGTGACAGTGGTGGCCAGTGATGGACAGCAGCTACTCCATCTGGGGGCAAAGCTGTTACCCTAGAGGCAAGGAGGCCACCAGCCCTCCCAATGGGTGGCCCCCACGTGGCCGCCTGTCCCGTGGTCACCCTCACAAAGCAATGCCCCCTACCAGGCCAGTCTTCAAAGTATGTAAAACACCCAGGCCCATGACACATCTCTCCCAAGTCCACCCCATCGGGGAGCTGAGGTGACAATGGCCTGCACTGAGGACGCTCACAGGACAGGCCCAAGGTGGACAGTGCTGGGGGAGGCCGCTTACGTTCGAGGGGGTCCTGCATCAGTGGGTGCAGCAGGGCTCTGGGGGTGCCGTGATACAGTCTCAGCCTGCAAAACAAGAGCCACGTCAGCGAGTGCCGCCTGCGCTAGTTCGGAAGCGCCAGCTACTCTTCCCGAAGCAGAGTGTGGGGGGCCCACCCGCCATCACTCGGCCGGACGCCCCAGCGCCCCTCGCCCACGCGCTCTGCAGGAGCACCCTGGGAGCACCAGTTCCCCACGGGCTTTGCTCCGACCCCACTCCCAGCACCGAGCGCTGTCCCAGTGCAGCCCGAGAACCTGGGCCCCAGGGAGCAACGGCTAGCACTGGGACAGCGCTCGGTGCTGGGAGAGGGGTCGGAGCAAAGCCCGTGGGGAACTGGTGCTCCCAGGGTGCTCCTGCAGAGCGCGTGGCTGGCGGCCGGGACGCTTCTGCACCCAGGGACATTCGGCAATGCCTGCAGACATTGCCGTGGGGGAGGTGCTATTGGCACCTAGTGGCCGGTGGGGACCAGGGATGCTGCTGGTCATCCTACACTCACAGGACGGCCCCCGCAAAGCCTTTCCGCCCACAGTGTCAGGGGCCACGCCGAGAGAGAGCCGGGTCTGGAGTGGCAGACTGGCTTCCACTGGGCTGACACGGTCACGAGGCCGACACTGGGCAAGCCTTCCACGGGGCCACGCGAGCAGGTTTCGGCAGCGCAGAGAACGCCGGAAAAGCACAAGGGCGGAGGGCGCGAGGCAGGTACCGCTTGTCCTGGGAGGCAGAGCAGGGAGACTCCGGCTTGTTGCTGAAGAGCCGAAGAATTCCGAACCCACACGACAGAGCCTGGAGGGCGCCGTCCCGTCTCCTGCCGCCGGCGACCACCTCCACCACCGCCACGATGTGAGGGTGGCTCAGCGACGTGTGGAAATACAGGGGCTGTGAATCAGAAGTCGGAAGCTCGATGAGGCACTGGGTGGACGCCACCACCTGCAGGCAGGGCACAGAGGACGCCGCTGTGCTCCCGCCACCCCGGGCCATCGCCACGCAGACGCCGCACGTGCGGCCATGTGGAGCACCCCTCCGAGGCGCCCGAGAACACGACAGGCCCAGCCGAGTGACCTCCTGGGAGCCACAGCTGCTCCCCAGCGCGCCCAGCAGCCGGGACAGCGGCCACTGTGCCTTTGCTCTGGGAACTTTCCATCCAGCAAAAAAGATGCCAACGGACGCCAGGTCCTGCGGAGGAGAAAGAGGCGGGGCCACGCACTCACCCCGCCCAGGCAGCACCCAGTGACACTAGATGAAGCCGGACCGAGTCCGGGCAAACGCCCCCTGAGGGGGCCTCTGGGGGCCCGGGTCATGTGGAACTGGGATGCAGCTGCCTTGACCTAACCTTGTTTAACTAAGCAGGATCCTTAGACGTCTGCGGTGCTGTGTGATTATTCCCAGTTCAGAGCCAACTAGCATCTCTTTGTGACTAATATCGCGTTGAGGTCATTCTCCTGAAAGATGGGGAACCGAGCTGAGCAGACACATCGAACTGCTCTTAGAAGGTTTTCCAGCCCTTCGCGATGTTGCCCAGTGGTTAGACCATCGGCCCTCGGACCAAAGGGTCATGGGTTCAATTCCCAGTCGAGAGCACGTTCCTGGGTTGCAGGTTCAATCCCGAACCCCGGCCAGGGATGTGAGGGAGAAAAGAATATTATCAGGGGAGGATTAACCACAAAAATTAAAAATTTTTTAAAAAGCCGGGCCAGCCCTGGATGGTTTTACTCAGTGGTTAGAGCGCCGGCCCACGGACCAGAGAGACCCGAGTTCAGTTCCCGCTAAGGGCATGTATCTCAGTTGCAGTTTGTCCCCGGCCTCGGTTGGGGTCGTGTGGGTGGCAACCAGTCGATGTGTCTCTCTCACATCAATGTTTCTCTCTCTTCCTCCCTTTTCCCTCCCGCTCTGTCTGAAAATAAATTCAAAAATGTCCTGGGGTGAGGATTTAAAAAGTAGCCTGGCCAGTGTGGCTCAGTGGATTGAGCGTCATCCCATGGACTGAGAGGTCCCAGTTCGATTCCCGGTCACGGCACATGCCCGGGTTGCAGGCTCGGTCCCCAGTAGGGGCCGTGCAGGAGGCAGTCGATCAAGATTTCTCTCTCCCATCGATGTTTCTCTCTCCTTCTCTCCCTCTCTCTCTGAAAAATCAATAGAAACATTTGTAAACGGTTTTCCACGTGTCACCTCTCCACCCCTCCCAGCCCTGCCTCTCAGGGCAGAGAGAGCGAATGCACCGCAGCCAACCGCCGTCTCTCCACCTTCGGGGAACAAGAGCACCTTCGCGCTGCTGCTGTTTCTTCTGCTTCAGGAAACCCAATGCAGTTGCTTTTATTTAAAACTAACCAACATCACAGACGCAGAAGACAGGAACGGGGGTTTGTGAGTCAACAGGGACAAGCATCACAGGTGCTCCGCCGCGGCTCGGACTCAGAGTGTCCCCGGAACCCAGCGCCCGTGCTGGGGTCACGGCGGGGCACAGAGACCACCCCCGCCAAGGCAGAGAGAGGTGAGGGAGGCCAGGCGGGGCTCTGCAGGGGATTTAAACCTGGAATAATCCCCGTTAAGGAGTCATTACCATGGTGTCACCCAGGAAACATTTACTGTAATCACAGACTGTCAGCCAGGATAACAGAGAGACACATTAAAACATCAGCCACGAGATATAAATCGTTATTCTATTATCTTTTATTGCAAAATGATGAAATAATGACCACTTACAGCTGACAGGTGGCTGGACCAAGGGAGAATTATGTTTCTGTTCGCAGGACTCAGGAACCGGCTTGAGCCCCGCCGTGCAGTGGAGATGGTCATTACCCCACCTTCTGTGTTTGTTCCAGTGCACACGGCGTTTATAGTCACCACCACCCACTTTTCCTTTCTGCAGCGAAACAGACATTTTCAACTCTGATGCGAAGCCACAGTAATCCCCCAGCTGGAGGTCACCTTGAAGGTGCTCTGCCACCGCTGCTGGACCAGCCTCTCTGCACGTCCCCAGTGCAGATTTACGGCCCTTGCCTGTCCCTTCTGCTCACCACCGAAAACAATTATTCTGAGACAAAACAAGCGGAGCGGAGCCCATCGGCATTCCTCTCCGGGGTCTCCGCCCCAAGTGGGGGGCCGGCCCCTGGAAGCGCAGCGTGGAAAGAAAACACGGGGTCCCCAGCTGTTGCCACACTACCCTGACCGGTCAGGGCAGATGCTCTTTCCAAACATCATTTACTGACCCTCCGGGCGGGGACCACCACCGTGCGAGAGAATCCCTAAGGGCCCTGGAAAACACGGCCCAGCCCTCGGAGGCCCCAGCTCGCAGGGAAGGGTCATTACAAAATGCAAACCCTGCTCAGGACCGACCGCTCGAGGCTCGGGGAGGTGGAAGCCGGCTGGGGTGGAAACACAGGGCCCCCACAGCTGCCCTCCTCATGGCCGGCCGGAGCGCCCTCAGGGGGCTCCCCTGGCACCCAGGCCCCAGGCCCACCTTACAGCGCACCAGGGGCTCAGCCAGAACCACCCCCAGCTCAGCTCAGCTGCACACGAGCCCTGCAGCCGGGACAGCTCATCAACACCACGCGGTCCGTACGCCTTGAGAGGCAAACCCCACCCATCACCTGAGACGACACGGTGAGAAGTTTCCGTCAAGCCCGTCCAGTCACCTGCAGGGAAGGCCCTTGAAGAAGAGCGGGGCCCCACCCGCCCACATCACCTCTCACTCACCCACACGGGACAAGTTTCCGCCCTGGCGGGATAGACAGATTAATAAATCATTGAAACCCTCCTGTCTTGCTACTTCATCTTCAAAGACACCGACACCATTTTGCCTCGGGGCCAAGTTTCCATCTCTCACCCACTTGGTGCCCCTGAAACCGGGACCCTGAGCAGGCGCCGGTGGGAGAGGCTGCAGCCCCGCGTCCACACGGCAGTGCCACCAGAGACCCCGGTGACACCGGCCGTCAGTCCCGAGAAGGAAAAAGGCCGGCGAAGAGGCCAGGGAAGGGCAGAGCAGACTCCAAGCTGGGACCTTCCGAAGAGGCTTCTCCATCGGCCTGGACGGAGTGTCTTCAGGAAGACGCGTAAGTCACAAGTACTTCCTGCCACGTCCACCTGCCGGCTCGGCCTCCCACAAGGCTCGGACGCTCCCTGGACTCGACCCATCCCGAGCTGAGCTCCGGGCACAGGACACTGCTCAGCAAGCTCTCCCCTGGGAACCACACAGCCCCCGACTCGGACGCCAGCAGCAGCCACGCCCCGGTGGGCTCCCCCTACCCGCACCACACGGCAGGGCCATGGAGACAGCCCCCCGGGGAACCGCCAGGCCCTCCAGGTCAGCCATCCCGGGGCGAGGTAACCTGGTCAGCCATCCCGGGGCGAGGTAACCTGGTTGGAGAGACGGTGTGCGGCCAGCCTGGGTAAATGGCCCCAGGCCGCCTCGCCACCGCGCGTGTCCAGCTCCTGCAAACCTCACAACGAACCCTGCGGACACGGCCGACGCAGCCCCGCTCCGGCCAGAGAACCTGCCGGCTGACTGGAGAGCTAGGCGGTCACAGCTGAACAAGCCTGCCCGGTGCACCGCGAGGAACACGCCACGAAGCCGAAGCGCCAGCGCGCACGCTCCCCGAATGCCCGGCACTGGACACGCCGTGGAGACGCACCGCTTCTCCTCTGGGACCACCCATCAGCCCCGCCCACCAGCCCGGAGACCCAGCCGGACAGGAAGCGCCGTCCTCAGAGGCCCCGTCACACTGTCGCTCTTCCTGCCTTCCTGGGACTGCACGTGGGGTGACAGCAGCGGGGCCCCGCGGGGAGAGGCCAGGGGCTCCCTGTCGCTGGGAAGCCTCCCTGGAGTTCCATGGGGTTACCCGGACTCTCCCTTCAGCCTGCTTTTAAAGGGGACATGACAGCACCCTCACTGACGGGGAAGAACATCGGGGTCGTGTCCCACGGCGGGGCCGTGGGCAGCGGGAGCAACCCCTCCCCGGTCTCGAGGGGAGCAGCTGGCTTACCTGCTGTCCCAGCAGCACCTGGGCTGAGGAGGGCTTGAGGAGGGAGGTCCACCCATCTGTGGAGAACCCCCGGGATTCCTGCCCATCTGGGAAAGGACACACAGAGGCTGCACGGCACGTGGGCTCCAGATCATCTTCAAGAGACACTCTGGAGAGGCTGGGAGGATGCGTGGCCTCGCAGGGGTGAAGGGCGGGCCTCTCCACCAGGGGCGACATGGAAGGAGAGCCCATGTCAGCCCTGAGCCCAGAGGGGCCTGGGGCTGGCCCCGCCCGCAAAGCCGGTGCCAGGAGCTCAGGCTCACAGAGAAGCTCCCGCTCGGAGTCAAGGCGAAGTGACGAGACAGCAGCGTCTTCCAGGGCTCGGTAAAAACGGAGCGCGAGCGTGATTGATGAACCCACACTCGCTGGACAGCCACGCCAAACCCCAGCCCGGTCCCTTGCTGCTGACGGGTAAAGCAGAACGCACGGGCAGTTGGGAAACCAGGATGAGCTCCCCACGGAACTTCTGAATCCCTTCTGAAAGGGCAGAGCGACCCCCAGCACGGCCACGCAGCCATGTGAGCGGCCCCCGCCCACCTGTGCAGGCATCACACACACGCGCACACACACACGGCCAAAGGGGGCCTCTCCGGAGCTAAGGGAACGTGAACAAGCCTGTCTTCTGTCCTCTGGCTGTCAAGGCCGTGAGGGGAGTGCGGGCCAGGAGGACGCATTCCCGGGGCATCAGCGGCCTCTGCTGCTCGCCGAGGGCATAGCAGCTGGAGAGCCGCTTCCCGGGGACCATTCTGCGGCTTGGCTGGGCACAGCCTCCAAACAGAAATGCTCGCTCAGCTGTGTTCTCCTTGGCAACTCCAAGGCTGGGGTGCAGAGGTCCCCAGCTTTCAGGACTGCGGTTCTCACTAATCCACTGTGCCCCATGCCCAGCTCAGAGGAACACGAAGAATGAACACGGCGCAGGCGGAGCTGGGGCGGACTCGGCTGGCAGCCTCGGAACCCAGGGCCGAATCTCCGTTTTCCTAACCGGGACCTGAGCAGCGAGCTGGGTGCGTGACACCTGAAGCGACACGCCACCTGACGACAACGGAAGCCCCACGGGGCTCCGAAGCTGAGTCCTGGGCAGTGCAGAAGGAGGCACAGCCCTCTGAGGCCATTTCTGATGGTGCCCCTCCGTTCTGCAGGGTAGATGCCTGTGGGGCCGTGAGTGCCCCTGCCCGAGGACAGCCCCAGCCACCCTAAAGGGGGCACACAGAGAAGGGGACTCATCTCAGGTCCTCAGTGACCGCAGTGCACCCCCGGGCTGGTTTCAGAGCATGGTCCCATCCGGTGACATGCTCCCCCATGGACACAGGGTTAGAAGGCCATAGGACAATCACTGCGGCCAAAGCGCGGGCTGTGGGCCAGCTCAGCAGGTCCACCTGGACGCACACACACACGGCCTCATGACCAGCCTGATTCTCTCAAGGAGGAAACGCAACACCGACCTCCGGACGAGGGTGCTGGGGACAGCATGGCGTAACCGTGCCGTGAGCCAGTGCCTGGCCTGAGGGACCCCCAGCAGGGAGGGCTCCGTCACCACCTCCATGAGTCACTGGCCCTGACAACACTGAGCTTCCTTGGGCCTCACTGTACACGAGAAGGAGAAGCAAACAGCCAGCCCTCAAAGGCCCTAGGAGGCCCCCAAAGGCGGCGAGACAGCCCGGCCAGGCGGCCGGCAACATCAGGGCCACAGCCGCTGCTGACGAGGCTTGTCCTGTCTCAGGCGTGAGTGGGCGAGGTGTTCCCATGCTGAGAGCGCAGAGGAGCTGCCCACGCCGCCCACGAGACTCGCAGCACAAACCCTCCTCCCCGGCACGGCTGACCAGAGACCCCCGAGAGGCCTCTGCCCAAGCAGTTTGCCAACCTTAGTATCAGACACACCGTCGGTCCCCGGGACACTCCCTTTTCCACGGCTTTACTTAGTCGTCCTGGCCGTTGGGCACTGTCTCGGGCTCCTACCTGGCTGAGTTAGGGCACCTGTCCGCATCGGGCCCGCCTGCCACACAGCCCTAACTGTGAGACTGAGCACGCTCAGTTTCTGCTGGAGCGACACGCCCCGCCCACTGCTCCGCTGGGACACCTGGCCTGCACACAAGATTGCATCTGGCAACGAGCCCGCCTAAGACCAGCGGGCGACGCCAGGCCTGCAGCTCCAGGCATCGCTAGCATCCGAGATGCGCTGGTCGTGCGCCCAGGTCAGGGTGCACCCTGCCCGCCCCAGGGCCCCGACACCGCGGTCCACCCACCTCATGGAAGACGACCCTGGACGGCTGCCTCGAGAGCGGGTCCACCGGCCTCGCTGTGCTCTTCCACGTCCTCCCGAAGAAGTGTCGGTAGGTGACATCGAAGAGAGACACGCGAAGATGGCACCCCACCTCTGACAGCACCTCCAGCACTCCCTAGGAGACAGAAGGAATCAGCCCTGTGAAGTCCCCGGCGTCACGAGCCACCCCCAGGTGCTGATGAGCATGCTGCTACAACTGGCCATTCAGCATCCATCCCCTTGTTTAGGTATCGATTTCCTTTCAGGAGCTACGTCTCAGAACACAAAGTCCCTGGGCACAAACACAGGCATGTGACCCACCCAGAGCCCAGGAGACACAGGAGGCCAGAGCTGCAGAGACAGAGGCATCTGACACCATGAGGAACCAAGAGAGAAATCCAGGTGACATTGCGTGAGACCCTGGATCAAGCCACACCTGACGCTTAGAGTAACTATGGGTTTGTCTGTTGTGTGGGCTAATTACCTCTAGCTTAAGCTATTTGGAATGTTGTTGTTTTTTATCATGCACAAAACCAAATGAATCCTTCCTGATATAACCACAAACTCTACACCCTCAACTTGCCAGGATTATCTTGGGATGGTATCAGCAAAGAAAAGGCAGATCTTTGAGGACTGAGAAGTCATGGCCACAAATACAAACCAGAGACTATAAAGACATGCCCTTTCCCGGACCCACACACCTGCAGCGAGGTTCTGCTCTGGCCTTCAGTCCTTGCGTTACTGGTGCAACTGGCCATGAATGTAATGGCCCAGGACATTCATGATGCCCCTTGATACTGTCTGTAGGGTACGTAAATGGTGCCCCTTCTCTCCTCCCTAACATTGGTCGTCTGTGTTTTCTCTTTTCTCGTCAGTCTCTAGGGACTTATCAATATTATTAATCTTTTCAAAGAACTAATTTCTAGCTTTGCTGATTTTCTGTGCTATTTGCCATTTATTTACTTTGTTAATCTCTGCTCGTATGTTTACTATCTCCTTCATCTATTTTCTTTGTTCTTTTTATCCAGACTCTTAAGGAAAAAGCAGAGGTCACTGACTTTATACCTTTTTACTTTTCCATTATAGTCAGATAAAGCAACAAGTTTCCCTCAAAGGACTGCATTAGCTGCATCCTACAAATTTTGGTATGTTCCTCCATTACTCAATTCAAATTATTTTATAATTTCTCTGAATTTTTCTTTGACCAAGGGGTTAGTTTGCAGTGTTCATTTCCTACGATTTGAAGATTCTCTAGCTATCTTTTTATGATTTCTTATTTAATAACATATAGTCGGTGAACACATGCTTTGTCATGTCAATCCTTTTAAATTTATCGAGACTTATTTTTATGGCCCAACATACGGTCTACCTCGCAGGGTGTTCCATGTACACTGGAGAAGGTGTATTCTAATTGTGTGTAGTGTTTTAGAGATGACAGGTCGGGGTGGCTGATGGTGTTCAGATTTTCCAAATCCTTAGGATTTTTTTTCTTTTTTGGTCTATTTGTTCTAACAACTGTTGGTAGAAGAGAGTTAACATTATGATGGTGATCTGAATGTAGTTCCCTTTTCTTCTACACAATTTTGCTTCATGTATTTGGAAGCTATGCTACATTTTGTGCAAAAGTGACCCCAGCAGGAGGCCTGTGACGGTCTGAAAGGCTGGCTCACAGGCCGGCCCTGGGCTGGAATCAGGGAGCTTAGGTTTCAGTTCATGTCTTTAGGGTTAAAATGTGCTTTTTTTCTATAAACAACCTGCAAGTGGGTCTTTCATGGTAATTTTTTTTTTATCCTCACCCGAGGGCTTTTTCTCAATTTTTGTTCAGATAGAGCAGGAGGGAAAGAGAGAGAAACATCAACGTGAAAGGGACACATCGAGTGGCTGCCACCCACACGACCCAACCAAGGCCGAGAACAAACTGCAACCGAGGTACATGCCCTTAGCGGAAACCGAACCCGGGTCTCTCTGGACCACAGGCCAACACTCTAACCACTGAGCCAAACCGGCCAGGGCTCATGATCATTTTTAACGTATGATTTTCGATGAAGAATTCCACTCGTAGGAATTATTCTACAGATGTACGGGTACATGAAAAAATGACGTACGTGAAGTTATTCATTGCTGCGGTGTCTGCGAGAGCGACCAACGGGAAAAGCCGAGTGTTCGCCAGCAAGGGCCCCGCTACGTAAACAGCTCATTCAGCCAGAGAAACCCCACGCTCTCAAGAGAGAAGGAGAAACTCTGCGTGGACGGCGCGGACGGTCTGCAAGGCGTGTTGCTAAGGATATTTCCTTCACAGCAAAGTCCACGCTGTGTTTATTGATTGCCTTTGCTTAGAGTCTCTGGGAAGCTGTGCGAAACCAGGTGTCACCAGCTGGATCCAGGGGGGACACTGGGCGCCCTGGGGACTCGGGGGGGTGACGCACTTTCCCGTGGGCCTTTGTGAATGCTGAACTATAGGAATTATCTTTTCAAAACGAAATGGGGAAACAATCAACATTCCTTCATAGAAGTCCTAGGGGCAGGGGACCGCTGTCTCCTAGCTCGTGAGCTCCGGGGCGAGGCCCTCGGAGCCAGTCCCGGGCTGTAGGGCCAGCTGGCCAGCGCTCGGACTGTCTCCTCCTCTGTGAAGGGGGGTGATGAGGGTACCTACACCCCGCACTGTTGTGAGGATGAACTGAATCAGCATAAGTCAAGTGCCAGGGTGAGGCTGTGCCCTGGCCCGTGTGGTCCAGTGGTTAGAGCGTCGGCCTGCACACCAAAGAGTTATAGGTTCAATTCCCAGTCAAGGGCACGTACCCGGGTTGCAAGTTCAATCCCCAGCCCCGGTCAGGGAACGTGCTGGGCCACGTTCTCTCTCACCTGGGTGCTTCGGTCTCTCTCCCCCTCCCCCTTCCACTCTCTACCGATCAGGGGGAGCCCATCCCCGGGTGAGGACCCACAACAGCAGGAAAGAAGCGGACGGTGAAAACCGCAGCAGCCAGAGAGCCAGCGCGGCTGCACGCCCCCGGCCGGCGCCCAGCCACAGGGACGGAACCGAACCGCGGAGTCGTGCGGGACTTCAGGTTCTCCACAGACCCTGCGCGCCACAGCTGGGAACTCCTGGAACCAGCAGCAAGAGAGGCTGGTCAAAGCGTCTCAGCAGCTGCGTGTTCCCACGGGCAGGCCTGGGGCCTCCCTGTGCCACCCCACAGGCCTCACCAGGACGTCCAATCTCACAGGGGCTCTGTGGGCAGCGCAGGCTCCCTGCCAGCTGACGGGCACAGGTGGAGGCAGAGCCCGGAGCCAGGGCCCGAGTGGGCAGAAGGCTGCAGCGCATCCAAACCCGGGGCTGCGGTCCTCCCTGCCAGGTCATGCTGAGCCCTGCACAAGGCACCTCTTGCAAACAACCTGGCTCAGACATAACCCAGGAAACCAGATCGCCTGGGCTTTGAAATTCTCCGCTGTGGGCAGAAAGGACCTTTTCCCCAGTGTCAGAAGTGCTGACCGAGTCGCTGAATCACGCATTCGCTTTGCTGATGGGCCACTTTGCCTCCCCGCAATGCCAAGGCCCACGGTAATGGGTACAGTGGGAGATGCAGATAAGTAGGTGCCAATCAACAGCCTCCGGGCTGACAGCGGTGGCCACGTGTGCTGGGCAGTAAATGGCGCATCCCTCTACCTGCTGGGCCAGCGGCCCATCGAGCCACTTCAGGACACACTGGAACGCCGTCGACTCCCGCGAGGGCTGGCGTGCGCGCTGTGGGTGTGGAGGGACCACCACGTTTTGGTCGAAGATCTGGTGCCAGTCATGCATTCTGCCAGCCTGAGGGTCACGTGGCCTCTGGGTTCACCTGCACTGTTCATGTTCAAATAAGTAAAAAAAGTGTGAGGACCACAGTGCTCAGAGCAATTCTGAAAGTTTCCTCCAACTGAATCCCGGAGGGCCCAGCATCCCTGAAACCCACCCTCCGCAGCCCACCCTGCACACCCCGGGGCGCCGTCCCCGGCACACGTGCCCGTCTCGCTCCAGAGGACCCCTCTGCCCTCTGCTCGTGAGCCAACCAGAGCACGACCATCCCAGCCCGGTGACTGCTTCAGGGACACACACACACGCAGGGCTGCTCTGCACAGCCGTGAAGGCTGGGCACGCACGGACACTGGGCACCGGACACCAGGCCTCGGGGACGCGGGCGGTCGTGGGTGGGGCTGGGCAGCGTGACCCCGTCAGAGCCAAGGAGATGGGCTCTCAGAGCTCCCACGGTTCCGTGCAGTGAAACACTCTCCCCTGCAGCCCTGGAGCAGAGCAGCCCTCAGCCTGCAGCTGCCGGGGGCCAGGGAGGAGACCCCGCCTTCAGACACACACCAAAAGCAGGCAGAGCAACCTGGGGAGGGTCACGCCGAGAGAAATAAGCCAGTCAGAGAAAGACACGTACCACGTGACCTCACTTCCCTGTGGAATCTACTGAACAGAATAAACTGATGAATAAGATCGACTCAGAAGCGTGGAAACATGGAACAGACTGACAGAGCTCAGAGGGAAAGGGGGTGGGCGTGGGGAGAGATTAACCAAAGGGCTTATGTGCATATATGCATAACCCACGGACACAGACAACAGGGTGGTGAAGGGGGACAATGGGCGGCAAATTACATCTGTTATACTGTCAACAATAAAGATGTAAAAGATCAAGAAAACAGCAGGCGGAGCAGAAACCAGAGCAAGGGCCAGTGGGTCCAGACGTCGTCAAGCAGACCGGGTCACCCAGGACGGCTCCGCTACAGGAAATGTCTCTTGTCGCTGAAGCCAGCTGGGGACAGGTTTTGAGTGTTACCTGGCTCACTAAGGATGTTATCTGCCTCCCAGCCAGACAGGGATCTAAACCTTCGTGAGATTCTTTTCCGCTGACACAGAATCTTAAGATCTTGGCCTTGACAAGAGGCCGGATTCTGTACACTGAGTGACGAGGAGAAAGGCGGCGGCTGGTCTCCCAGGCCAGTAGTTCTGTAGAGTGGTCCCCAAAGCCCAGAGGCCGCCCAGGCTCGTCTGCTCCTCACCACTCACAACTAAAAGCGATCGGCTTCACTGAAGGATGTCCTTGGTGAAACTGAGAAGTGCAAATGTGATCTCATCTCGACCTCTGAGCGTATGCATTTGCGAGACTCTGGGATGAAATGGGAAATACAAACCAACAAAAGTCCGCTGGGAAAGAGGCAGGGTCCCCCCGGCCAGGTGAGCCCTGCGCTGATGGACCAGCCACTTGGCTCATCCAGCAACACCACTTGCACTATGAACGGCGGAGAGAGAAAACATGCTTATTCAGACTTGTCCTTGGCAGGTCTCTCTCCATCGTGAACAAAATGCGCCTGTCACTTCAAGGAAGACTTGTAATCAAAATCAAGTTTCGGGCAGAAATTAAAGTTGGGAAAGTCTGCCTCCCCGACGGCGAACCTGACAGCTTCCCGCTGCTCAGACTTCTCGGGGGAGATGGCTAGTGTCACAGCGAAAGCGATCTTTTGTGAAACTGTATGATTCAATGTGTCAATATTTGGAAGCTGCGTAACTCGGAGCGCCGGTTTTCCAAGTGAGCGGTGCGTAACGACAGAAACTCCTGCCGGAGGAACAGTCCATCCGGCGTGCGAGTCAGACCGCAGGACTTCAGTGTAACAGGATGGCAAGGTCCCTGGCAGCTGCCCAACAACCCGGCATTTCTGCCCCTTGCGGATGTGCGACTGCTGAGGACCTGGGGTGGGGAGGCCATCCCGGATTAGCCGGCGGGCCTCTTCCAGTCAGAAGGGTCCTCACGAAGAGGCAAAGGCCAGGTGACAAGGACACGGGGAGAGCGGTGGAGGCGGAGGAGGGGGCAGGAGCCAAGGACGGCAGGTGGCCTCCAGCACCCGGCAAAGGCACGGAACCGACTCTCCCCTGGAGCCTCCAGAGGGACCAGCCCTGCCCACACCGGGACTCTAGGCGGGGAGACAGATTCGGACTCTGGCCTCCAGAACTGGAAGGAATGAATCTGTGTTGCTTTTAGCCACCCCTCTGGGGTAGTTTGTTCCAGAAGCCACAGAACTCAGAGAGGTGTCCACAACCTGCACGCAGAAGAGGCCCGAACGGTACCCGGTGGGAGGGCCACCTGCCCGAGAGGGCTCTAGAGGCCCCAGGGTCCAGCCCCCAAGCACACATGGTCCCTGCACTTCCCTTGGTCATGGCCCTTGCTGCCTGCCCTGTACTCTGCTCATCGGCCAAGTGTCTCCAGAGGGAGCCCACATTCCTGTGTCCTTGGTACCAGGCTCACCATCACAACTCAATAAATATTCGCAAAAGCAGATGGAAGTTTCCATAAAGTTGACTCCCAAGCATTTTTTTTTTTTCCAGAGAAATGTTATTTTCCCATTGACTTATAAAACTGGGATGTTTCACCCTGGCCGGTTTGGCTCAGCGGTTGGAGCGTCGGCCTGCGGTACGGAGAGACCCGGGTTCAGTTTCCGCTAAGGGCGCTAATAAATAAAATAATAGAATAAAATAAAAACCTGGGATGTTTCCTCGTACAAAGCGAGCGCCCTAAGGAACGGATGGGGCGTCCTTCCTGCCCCAGAGCGCTGGCGGGCACGAGAACCCTCCGGAAGGAGCCGCACAGACCTCCCACGAGTTTCCCCGGCTCCAGGACTGCACCTCCTCTGTAGGTGCTGCTCACCTGCCCAACTCCTGACCCAATGCCTCCCTCCCCTTCCAGTGGCACACTAGGCCAACAGCTGTCACCGAAGAACACTCGTCCTGGGCCACCCTTACAGGGGACACGGCATGGCCCCCGCTGTACCAGTAGGACACACTGGGAAGAAGGCACCCATTCTGAAAGAAACAGCCACGCAAAATCAAAACACTGAGCCGGACAGGTGGAAGCGGGCAGCAACATCTGCGTGGGCCGTGGAGGGGGAGGTGACACCTGAGACACAGGCCCGGGGGCGGGAGCCCAGGCAGCTGCATGGCTGTGACACCCAGACTCTGCCCTTCCTCTCGACCCTGCAGAAAAGCTGCCACCTGGCCCGCCCTCCTCTCCACCTCCACTCTGACCTTGCTTCAGTTCCTCTCGGATATCACGCCCTCTTGCCCTCTTGACAGAGGGACAGACAGACACAGATACAGAGTCGCACACCCGGGGAATTCCTGCTTGTCCTTTAGGAGTCGACTCAAATGCCACCTCCTCGGAGTGAGCACCCACCCCCGGCCAGTGGCTCCCCACGCGGGTCCTGTCACAGGTGTCACCACACTGCTCAGTTACTGTTGTCCTGCAAGACTGAGCTCCGCGGGGTCAGGACTAGGTCCTCAGTGACAAGTTGTTCGTGATTACGTAAACACACTATGCTGCGGAGAAGGGCAGAGGGGCCTTCGGAGCTAGAAGGACGACAGAGAAAACAGGAGGGTTCTACCTTTTCCAAGAGAGGGGTACAGTGCGCTGGAGGCACACAGAGAGACTGCAGTAGCTTTTGTTGAGCCCTGCCATGAGCCAGGCTCTCACAAACACTTGCACGTGCGCTATGCCAACCGCGCTGGAAGACAAGTACCATCGTCATGGCCACCTCGCCGTGAGGACAGTGAGACTCACAGGTTACACAGCCGTTCCGAAACCATACAGCCAGCCGTGACTGACCCCAAAGCCACTATAACCACGCCTGTCCCGCTGTCCCACGGAGGCCAGGAGAGGCGGAGGGACAAGAGGCCCCAGCGGGTGGAGTTCAAGAGCACTGGCCAGGTAACAGGCTGATCCTCACTCCCTCTCTGACTTCTGGAAAGTCCTCTGCCTTCCCTGTGTCTGCTTCCCACCTCCACAAAGAGGGGGCTGTGAAGCTGCCTTGGGGTCTCTGCTGCTGCCCTAGTCAGCAGATGTTAACCAGCACCAGCACCTGTTCTGTTCCAGTACACTCGTGAAGAAGACCAACACCCTGGCCTCAAGAATCCAAAGATCCAGTGGGAGAGAGACAAGGGGCGAGAGGGCAGCACAGAGATGGTGGGTCCAATCGTGCCTCCTTTCTGGGGGGCTGAAAGCAAGGAGTGGGGGAAAGAGGAGGGAACCCAGGAGCTGAAGCAGTAAGCTGGGCAGAAGTCCTGGGGAAGGGAGGGGCAGGGGCCTTGAGGAGCTGTCCAGGCCCAGGGCAGCATCCTTCCCAAAAATGAACAAGATCTTGAATACCCGAGACCCCCCAACGCTTTGGAGAACTCTTGGGGGCAATAAGTGGAAATCTAATTAAGCACTGCTTGGAATTCCCTCCTTCAAGAAATATCCTCTGAGAACCTACCACGTGGCAGGCAGGCCCTGGAGAGACCATGCTGACCACAGCAGACAAGTGCCCTGCCCTCACGGCATGGATGTGGAGCGGGGAAGACACGATACAAGTTAGCAAGGAGGCTCCAGGGTTGTGAGCCATAGAAACAACAGAAAGGGGTGACAGAAGGGGGCAGAGGGTGCAGGGAGCTGTGACAGAGACCTGTCCCTACAACCATCTCCAGGCCTCCTTCTCCCACGATGCAAGTGTGAGGCTGGACTTCCTGCACATGCTTCAACCAGCACGAGGCACTGCCACACAGAGAGGCTGGGTCTGCCAACTCAGCGTCTGTGCACAGGACAGCGGCGTTCAGGCCCCAGAGAGGGGCCAGGTGGTGAGCTCGGAGCCGGTCAGCAGGCTGGACAGCAGAGGGTGAAGGCCAGCTGCCCTTCCAGGGGCAGGGGACACGGGCAGTGGGGTGGCCTTCTGCAAGGGCCCGGGAGTCTGGAGATCTCCATGGGAAGCGGTTCCCACAGGGGACAGACACCCACACGGGATGGGCACCCACGGGGGGTGGGCACCCACAGGGGATGGGCACCCAGCCTGGGGCAGGCACCCAGCAGTTGTCCCAGAAAGGGCTCCGGGGGCAGGAAGGCCGCCGGGGATGCCGAACTGGGGAAGACCAACGCCGAGGTCTCAGCAAAGCCCAGACTGTCGGCACCGCGCTCTCCTTACGCTGAGGAGCTGCAGCGGGACTTAGGGTCAAGGGGCAGAGGGCGGAGGTCGAGCCCCAAGAAAACCCTGAAGCCCACGGATCCCGCACCCTGGGCTCAACCAAGTGTCACGGCGGAGGGGGAGGTGACATGCAACTGACGCGGGCACAGCCCTGCGCCCCGCCCGGCCGCCGCGCCCCGCAGGCACCGGGTCCCCCGGAGAGACGTACGCAGCAACCCCAACCCCAAGCCCGAGAACCCGGCCAGCTCAGGGGCCGCAACGTCTCGAGTCCTCGTCCAGCCTCCCCCGCAGCGTCAGCCAACATGGTTCCGCCCGCCGCGGGCCGCGTTACCTAGGAGACCGGCCCTCCGCGCCCGCGCCCACTCTGGAGCGGTGAGGCCCACGCTCTCGAGGAAGGGACCCTCGGCCGACCCAGAGCCCCCGCGGCCCCCGGTGCCCACCGGAGCCGCACGCCTCGCGGACCGAGGACCGGCCAAAGGACGCTCCGGCCGCTGCCACCGCGGGAGGAGCCTCGCCAGACGGCGCGCCGCGCGCTCGGGCCGAAAACCCGCCCCGCGTCACTGTCGTCGGCCACTCAGAGCCCAAGTCGAGCAGCTCCGCTCTGCCAGCACCAGCCAATCGGCGCGGCGGTGGGCCCGTCCTAATTTGCATTCCTGGCGATTCCTCAGCCAATGGGAATATGACTGACGTGAATCCCAGCCAGTGATAAGCTGTCAGGGGCGTGGTCCCGGGTGTCCCACGAGGTGAAGATGCTGCGGGCGGAACCTGGTGAAGAGAGCGGGATTCGGGGGCGCTGAAGTCGCAAGGGCAGGGCGGGAAGGAAGATCTGGAGCGGGGCACAGGATCCGGAGCTGGAGCCCCCCAGGTGAGTGCAGGGGGAGACCCCGGCGGGTCGTGCTGTCTGTCCACGGCCGTGCACTGGGAGAGCGGCGGCGGGTACCCGCGAGGCCCGCGGTGATTCTCCATCGCCTCTTCCCCTGCGCGTCCCCGCGCCCGCCCCCATCCTCACCTCCTCTCCAGCCGGCTGGCTCACCTCCTTCTCCATCGTCTCTCTTCCCCATCATCTCCCTTCCCCCATCCGATCCTCCCTTGCCTGCCCTATCTGCCATCCCGCCTGACCTTTCAGCTCCCGTCCCCGACCCCTGCCCCTAACTTCTTCCCTCCCCTCGTCCCCGTGCCCCTCTGCCCTATCTCAGTCCCCTGCGCCTCCTGCAGCCTTCCCACCCCCGCAGCCCGGTCCCCATCCCACCTCCCGGCCTCTGCGCAGCCCCATCGGAACGCTCCCGGTGCCAGTCCTCCCCATTCCTCCAACCTTTTTGCTCCTGAAGGCTCACCCTGCCTTTCGCTCCTGGTCCCTACCCCATCCTCCAGCCCATTCTGCTCCCAGTGGCTCCCACGGGCGCTCTCTCCACCTGGCCCCACTCCCCTGGACCTTAGTACTTTTTTTCCTGCACACCCCCCCCCCTCCCTGTGCCCCTAGGGCTCTTCAGGCTCTGTCCTCTCCCCACCACCCTACCTGCTGCCGCTCCAGGAGGATGCAGAGACCCAGCGAGGCACCGCTGCTGGGTACCTGCCCACCTTTCCACCCTCCTACTCAGGCGTGCCCCAGCTCTGCTCCTGGCATTTGTCCTGGAGGCTCCTGTGGGGGCTACACTTTGCCTAGAGCATCCTGGGGGGAGGGGGGTCCTAGGTGGCAAGTCCCGTGGCACCCTTTCCTGCCTTCCTCTCTGGCCACCATCTCCCTCCCCACCCCCACTTTCCTGCTCAGCCTCACTTTGTGATTCAGCATTTTTGGGGTTGGTAACTTTTTTTGCTTCCTGGGGTGATGGGGACCAGGCTGAAGGCAGGGGTGCTTGATCCTGCAGTCGGCAGGGCCACCTTAGGAAACAGACCTGTTCTGCCTGGGTTGGAGAGCAGGGGCCTGCTGGTGGGGGCGGCTCCCCCTCCCTTTCATGAGTCGCCCTGTGTTGAACCACATCCAGGGGAGATGACATAAGTAATAGCTCTTGGGGAAACGGGCTGTTAGCATTTATGGAAATTAGCATACACCATGTTCAGGCCACAGCTGTCTCGCTGGCGTTTCAGGATTTCTTCTTTCTCTGCAACTCCTCCTCCCCCTCAAAAATCACAGGCCCCCTTCCAGTGCCAAGAGCCGGCTCTGCCAGGGAAGCCGCATTGAGGCCCCATGTTGCCAGGTCTGGGGACCTGCGTGTGGAGTGTCCCAGCTGGGCAGACTGGTCCACCTGCAGATCCCAGGCTCATGGCTCCCCAGGTCATATCCACAGCGACTGTGGACTCTCTCCAAGTGCACACCCGCCTCAGTGGCATGACATCCCTGCTTCAGAAGCAGTCTCCTGGAGGCTTCCTGGAGGAAACCAAGGCCCAGGTCCTGGGCCTCTGCTCTGCCAGTCGCAGACACTGGGCACTGCTCGGCGCTGAGGACTGAGGTGCATCTGGGGGAGGGTTGAGGCACGAAAAGCGTGGAACCTGGTCTCCTGCTCAAAGCTTTTTTGCGTGTGGATGTGGAACCTGGATGGGAAGAAGTTGGCACTGGGGGGATGCCAAGATGGAACACCGGTTCTTGCCTGGTGACTAGCACAGCTGGGGGCTCGGGGGGTCAGAGGGGTGGTGAGTGCTGGGCCAGGCAGCTCCAGAGGCTTCATACCCTGGGGCTTTCTCTCCTTTTTCAAGGATCTTCTAAACCCCAAATGATTCAGGAGGAAGTGAGAGGCACCGGTCTTGATTTGGCAGTTTCCGGGAGGGGCAGGGAGGGAGGGGCCTCCTCTAGGTTTGCCTGTTTGTTGATGCTGGGCCCGGTGGCAACGGGGCAGCCGTTGGGTGGTGAAGGAGCCCCAGGGAGCGGGTTTGTTTGTGGGGACTCTGACAGGAAGCAGCGTGTCTTTAGTCCTTGACTAAATTCTCAGTGACCTTCACGTCACCAAAAGTCCCAGAGCCAGAGCAGTTTTCTGGGATCCCTGAATAATGGGGCAGAACAGGGTCAGCTGCAGGCATATTCAAGGCCCATCTCTGAGGGTCCTAGGGCCAGGGACCCCACACCCCCCTCCATCCTTCCCATCTATGCTTCCTTCATAGAGCCGCAAGGGTCTTGGCCACCTGCCCCCTCAGAGGAGTCAGCAGAAGCCCAGAGGCAGTGACTTTTTCAAGGTCACTCAGAGGCAGGAGCAGAGCAGGGTTAGACCCCTCCCTTCCTACCCGCTGGAGCCCAGTGGAGGAAACCAGCACCCTGGGGTGTGTCAGAGTGACTGGGGTCATGGGGAGAGGGAGGTGCTCTCAACCACAGAGAGGTCTGGTGCTGCCATCCTGCCTGGCCTGGCAGGCCCCCAGAGCGAGGTGCTGAGGTTCCGAGGTGTCACAGGGAAGCCAGGGCCGGCCACTGTGCGGGATGAAGGGGAGAGGGACTGTACCCGGGTTGGAAGTGCACTTCCCACCTTGCTTCACAGTGGCTCTTATAAATGACCCTGCCAATCATCCTGATTAGCCAGGATGGGGAAACTGAGGCACGGGGCAGGGGTGAGACTCACCCGGCTCTTGAGGAAGCCCTCATTCTGTTCCTGCTATACCCAGACTCAGATAGACACCCCCTCCTCGTAAATCCTTAGCCCCCCCATGGATGTCAGGCTTAATCCCAGTTCCCGGGGAGGGGGAAACCCATCTTTCTCATGGATGGGAACCCCAGGGTGCTGAGCCCCCCACTCCCTGTGTACTCCCGTTTCTTTGGGGTGACGCTGAGGAGGTGTGGTCCTTAGCTCAGCCGGTTCAGGGGAGAAAACGGGAGCAGGGGCTCCCTGAGAGAGAGCACACCTGGGCCAGGTGGGAATGTCACCCGCCTGATCATCCCCTCACCGGGTGCAGCTCAGAGCTTCCCGTTGATCCCGGCCTTGGCGGGTACCAGTCTCACGGCGGGTGTGCACAGGGCTGCATCTCCTCCCCCTTTGCCACATCCGATGGGCATGGGGCTCAGAGGCCTGCCTTCCTCTCCCTGCAGACCATGGGGTGAGCTCTGGCCCAGCACCCCCCAGCCCGAGGGCCCTGCACCACACACCCAGCTTTCAACTCCTAGCCCTGTGGGACGGGGTCTCAGGAGGCCACGCCCTGCCCTGCCCAGTGGCAAGGTTAACCCCAGAGCCACGGCACGGTGTGTGCACTCGTGTGTGTCCTTCACCCCAGGCTGAGCGCCCTCCCCAGTACCTGCCTGCGCTGAGCTTGTCTCCGTGCAGCCCTCGGGCTCTTGCAGAGCTGACCGTCGGTGCCACGCAGGGGACAGATGAACGGGGCTGAGAAACGGGCAAAGGCCGAGCGGAGGTGGCCCCTGACCCGGCTTCCTGTCCGCTGCAGACGCTGTTAGGGCATTTGCTCCACCGTGATCTCGACCGGGCTGCTGAGCAGTCGGGGTCCATCATCCAACGCAAGACGGAAAGCCTGGCGTGTGTCTGTCCTTCTCAGAGCCGTGCCAGGTTCAGAGCCAGCAGCAGACCGACCGTGACTGGGCCGCTTTTCCCGATAAGCAGGTGGCATCTGGGGTCCCATAGACACCGGATCTTGTTCACAGGGCCCTCTGTCACCATCTTGACCCATGGCCCCTGGTGGGGAGTTCGCTCGGTGGGGGTCTTGTTCTCCCCCCTCAGCCATTTGGCTCCGTTCTTAGTCCCTCTTTCTGGATTAGTGAGATGAGATGACCCAAAGCGTAGGGACAGTCCCTGGCACATAGACACTGAGTAAATGTTACCTAGTCTGTGACCTCCAGTGACAGACTGAGCCCAAACTGTTGCCCTGCCTGGTGGCTCCCAGGACAGCTTGAACAGAGTAACGCGGGTCCCCTTTTGAGTCACGTCATGATCCCACTCAGAAGGGGAAGGGCCTGGGGGAGCCCCGTGGCTGACTGCTTTCCCATTGGTCTGTAGAGTGAAGGGGCAGGCCCTGCCCTGTCCTCGCTGACCTCAGGCCTCCTGGAGGACAGGCAGCCTGCAGAACACACCTGCACAGGCCCCGCCCGGCCTCAGAGCCCCGCCCTGGGCACGCCCACCCATTCCACCACCGAGTTCCTGTTCTGTCTCGGACCTCAGAGCAGACTCCTACCCTGATGCCCAGGGCGGAGGAGGTCGGATTCTGCTGGGGGGCCTTGCCATCCTGAGCGCCCCATGGTGGCAGGGCCTGTCTGGGAACAGTGCCCTTCCCAAGAGAGGAGTCAGAAATCATCAAAATCCGCGGAGGGTACTGATGAAGCCACACATTAAGGATAAGTTCGGGCTGAAGCACTGTTAGAACCTGTAGATAGGGTGATGGGGGGAGACCTTTGTGGCCACAACAGCAGGCCCCGCCCACCTCCACGTCTGGGGGCCCCAGCCAGAAGGAGGGTGCGGTCATCACAGCCACAAGGAAGAGAAGCCCCTCTGGGGGAGGGGAGATGGGTGTGATGTTTATCTGAGACCTGGAGAGAAGGCAGGGTCCGGCTCCCAGAGCTGGGGGGCCGTCTGGGGGAGGGCCCGGCTCCGCAGGACCCAGGAGGGAGGACCCAGCAGGTTGGACAGTGTCTGAGGCCCGGGGGAGCACAGCAGGACCTGACTATGGCAGTCACTGAGGGTGGTCAGGAACGGGGGTCTGGGAAGCCAGATGTCAAACCTCTGGGGGCTTTGGAGCAAGGCAGTGACGCGTCGGGGCCGGGACAGAGAAAGTGGAATATGTCCGCGGCGAGAGGCAAGGACCGGCATGCGACACAGGAGACCTGGTGTGCGTCCTGAGTGCAGGGACCGTTGTCCGTTTCACGTGCTGCTGTCTCAGGTGGAGTGGGACCCACGGAAAATGTCTTGAGCGGAGAATGGAACGGGGGGCATCCAGGCAAATCCTCTGTAGAGCTGGGCAGCGACGGGATGTGGGTGCTGAGAGGAGAGTCCAGGACCCCGGGCTCTGGCTGCTGCCCGGGCTCGGCCTCCCTCAAGGGTCCGAGGTCCGTGCCCGCAGGCATCGAGAGAGTTGGCCCGGGGTTCACATGCGAGGTGATTGCCAGCCGCCCACTGGTGACAGTCCTGACAGTGGCCAAGCGGGAAGGGTACAGAAGACAGGCAGAGTGGCCGTAAGTGCAGGACTTGACCGGGGAGGTGAAGCTCAAAGCAGGCAGGAGAAAGCCTGCCTCACCCCAGAGCCAGGAGGAGAGGGCGCAGGGTGGGGCCGGCGCCCACTGCACCAGGTGGCCCTGCAGGAGGAGGCGGTCTCTGCTGAGAGGGAGCGGAGGCCGGTGCCCAGGCATGGGCGGCATGGTGGCGGAGGCCCCTCTCAGTAACAGGAGGACTTGCCGCCTCCCCTCCCGGTGACAGGAGCACCTGCCTCACCCTCCCGGTAACAGGCACACCTGTCATCTTGGCCATCCGCACTGTCCCTGGGCACGTAGCTGCCACTGTCTCTGTTCTACTGGTGCAGAAGCAGCTCTGGCAGGTGAGGTCTCGGAGCATAGGAGCAGGAGCCGGGACCTGAGCCCGGCTGTGCGCCCCCAAGGCCCCTCTCCGCACCTCTGCCCTCTGCTGTCTGCGGCTCCCGAGAAAGCGGACAGGGAGGAAGAAAGGAACCTGAGAGGCTGGCGGTGTGCTGAACGGGCCAGCGG